GTGGCCTTGTCCAAGGCTCGTGATGCTGTTGTAGTCTGAGCCTCGGTTCAACGAGACTGATTCTGTCAAATACACTGCCCGACCTCCTATGTCTTTGCTCTTGCTCATACGGAGGTAGGAAATTATCATGGTGAAAAGGGGCCTTGGTGGGTCGACCAGAGGCGTAGTTGGAGGAAACGTCAACTTCTACTTCCCTTTCAAATGGGCTTACACCTCGGGTATAGTCCAGCGAGATAGCCCTATGACTTTGAACTTCATCCTCTTGTTGGTATTAACCTTGAGGGGCGTATGGAGGAATAGGGAAGCCTCCCTGGCCCTGCATTTGGGCCATAAGTTCCTTCATAGCCATGGTTTGGCTAGTAATGTCCCTCATATTAGCTGCCATGGCGGCCATTTCTTTTGACAGTCGGGCCATCGCACGCATTCCGCCTCTTCGGTGGTTGTGATGGGGTCTATGCCGAAATGCTGGGGCTGCAGCTTTAGGGGGCACATTAACATTTTCTCTTACCCTCCTGGGAGGTGTATCTTCGTTTGAACTCATTTTCCTTGTTTCTTACCCTTCAGATTTTTGCTAAGTCGTGGGACTTCCTCTTATTCTTTTTCAAGAACAAATCATTTTTCAAGGGGGATGCCCAAATGTTTCTCTTTAACAAGTTTTCACCACAAGGTTGTTCGTGGTTATGGTATGACTTCCCACAGACGGCGTCAATCTGTTGACCCCAAAAAATGTTGCCAACAGATACCAGACCCACCTGCGTACACGTAAGCGAAGGTCCAACAGGCAAAGACACGTGGACGGTCTAAAACGGACATATCAAGGGCGTGAAAGTAGCTCAACGGCGCGGGACGAGAACGATCGGAATCCGGCGAGATGATCGTAGACCGATTGTACAATAATTACCAATTGATGTTTCTAAATGTATGTCTAAATATGTATGAACTCGTTTGTGTTGTAAGATAATAAGAAAGAGAGAGTTGAGTAAAGTATGGTTTCTTGTATTGATTCTTGCATTAGCATTTGTATGGGGTACATGGGGGAGTATTTATAGTGTCACTAATTAGATCGTGACCTTTGGTTCGGGGTACATGTGGCCTCATCCGGTTGAGTTACATGTCAAATTGTAGGTATCGGCCGCACCTAACCTGTTATACATTTATTGATTGACAGAGCCGCCTCTACTAGTGATAAGACTTAACAAATACACTCATGACAAACATCCTATCAATCATTCAAGGAAGATCTTTGTATAGAATATCTCTTGGAAGAGGTGTCTATGGAAGATGTTGCTTTGTGTTTCGGATGCTGCCACCTCGACTACAAAGCTTCGGCGAATAGGGCCTCGTCCACCTTCAAAGGGCCTCGGTGTATGGGTTTCGGAAGCTCCTTATGAGGCCATGATAAAGGGGCCTCAGTGTACATGGGCCTAGGCATTTGTGGACCTCGGTTTATGAGCCTCGACTATGCAAATCACCTCGAATTATGTGCCACATGGTTCGGCAGGAGTTAGCTGTGGGCCCCGGTGGGTTGCTCAAGTGTGCGAACATATATCATGTTTCTTTCATAGCTTAATGAATTGACACCACTTAAATATTTCAATTAGCTTGATATTATTTGCTTCGTTTTTTGGCCATCCTCATGTTTGGGGTGGTAATGCTCTCAAAAATGAGGGTGTTTTGCAAAGAATGCTCGACTGAATTAGACAATATGAGAAACAAGTTTTCAAATTCTCTTTCATGTTTAAAATTATTTAGATCGATCTAATATTGAATATTAATGGTGCCTTAATTGTGTGTAGGTTAAACCCTACTTATCTTTTAATAATAGATAGTAAATGATACACTTGTCGCATCGAAAAAGTTTCCACTTCCACAACAGATGGATGAAGTTACCCCCATTTTATATTATAAGAGCAATAAAATTGCAGAAAGAAAATAAACAAAAAAAATATCCAAGTGTTATTAAAGTTTGTCTCAACATCAGGCTACGTCATCTTCTACTATTATAATGATTCACTATTATGAAAGAAGAAGAATAAGTTTACAAGAGAAAACATACACATAAAATTCTAGGAAAATTGTAGCAACGGTTCCTAACATTTTCATTTTTTGCCGAATTTACCCTAATTTTCATTTTGTGCCAATGGAGATTCCTAACCTTTCATAAATATGCACTTGAGGTCTATCTGGACGGAAATGGTTCAAAACACCGTCAGTTGACAGAGAATATTACGGAATCAACATCCAATAAATCGTTCAAAAATACCTTCCAAAAAGGTATCAACATCCAGTAAAATTGTCCTGATAGTAGATAGCTCAAGAAATTTTACCTGTCAATTGACGGTAATTTGAACGGTTTCTGTCCAGATGGACCTCAAATGTATATTTATGTAATGTTAGGGACTTTTATTGATACAAAATGAAGGTTAATGTAAAGTTTGTAAAAAATGAAAAGGTTAGGGACCGCTTTTGCAATTTTCCCTAAAATTTTTCCTATTTTGGCCTTTACCCTGTCTTTTTTGTTAATTTAATAAACCTTGAAGATAACTCATTAATAAGAAAAAATTTAGGCAAACGAAATAACAAGTGAAATTCCTAAACTTGGGACCCTGTGTAAGGCAATAATTGTTGGAAATTGACATTAATGAAGTTGGCAATGCTAGCTGGAAATTGATATTAATGAACTTGATTTGACCAATTTTTAACCAGTTATTTCAATGGATCTCGATAGTCGGACGTAAGATATCTTTGACCAAGTGATTTCTACTCAAAAAGAAGATTAATATAGTATATTTTTTTTCTTAAAATCAATTTCGGTGAATGAAAAATTAATATAAAAAAATACCACTTGAAATTGTAAAAAGTTTGAATATAAAGCCCCCTGTTTGGCCCCCTTCTTTTCCAAATTTTAATGTTTGGAATAATTTTTTTTTAAGAATGTGTGGTTAAAAAAATCGAAAAGTTATCGATTTACATGTAATATTATTTCAATCACATAATATTCCATAAAATAATATCATACGTAAATGAATTTTTTTTTTTAACCACTCATTCTTAAAAAAAAAAAAAAAATTATTATTTCACCCATTTTAATTTGAAAAAAGGGGGCCAAACGGGAGCTAAGAGTGCTACTATACAAGTCAAGGTTGCTGTATTTTGAGAGACGAGTATTGAAGATTCGTCACACAAGTGTGGAACATTATTATTTTAAGAAAGAAGAAAGAGTCGAATTCGAATACTTAGACCATTTCATTTACTACTTTATTTCATTCTATTTGATTTTAAGATAAGTCAAAATTCTATTCGATTTTTCTTACAAAAATGATAAAAACGTTTTTGTAAGAAAAATCTAATATAACAATTAGGCTCCACAACTTAAAAATTAATATATATGAAGTAAATATCTGTTGTCCCCAACTCAAATTTTGATACTTCACTCCACTGTTAAATAGGAAGGGACAAGATATCACTTGGAACATGACGGCATTTACAATATTTTGTAGGTTATTATTATTTTTCACTTTATGATACAGAAATGATCTAATTTTCACATTAGGCATGAATTATAATGTATACTCAAATGTTGTCATGATCATGGTAGGTATTGTAATCCATCCCTATTGTCGACATTAGATTAGAGCCGAGTTTGGTGTCAAAATTTGAGTCAAATATCAAGTCAATACATATACGGGCGAATCCAAGATATTGAGCCAACACAAGCGACCGTAATAAAATATTAAGGGCTCGTTTGATGTCATTTTTTACAAAAAAATGCATTTTGAAATAGTGATTTAATGGAGAATGTGTAGTTAAAAATAATAAAAAAAATTTGAATTTACGTGTAATATTATTTTATTAAAGAATGTTTGATCGAAAATAAGGGAAAGAAAAATGTATTCTGAACTAAATGGGAATCAAACAAGGCTTAAAATTTAAATAAAATAATTATTTTGTGAAAATTGAACATATATAATTTTGTTATAAGAATAAATCGTACTCATCAAATAACATTATTTCTTTGTATAATTCAAAGGAAAAGCATGTTGTTTGAATTTTTACAATGGCATAAAAACCACTAAAATCTTACATATATTATTTTGATAAACTTTGTGTCATAACTCATTAAGTGTCATAATGGTTAAGTTTTCGCTATATCCTAGAAGAATAAAGTTACTCTTACAAAGTAACTTTACAAAAGTGAAGACACCAAGTGTGTTGACAAAATGTAGGCCATTGATTTAAAATGATTTAAAAATTTGTTTTTGAAATGATTGGTGTGAATGTTATTTTGTAACCCAACTTTGTAAGTGTAGCATGACTTACTAAAAATTTATACAATAAATTGGTATACAGATTCGAACCCGGAACATCAAAGAAACAAAAGGAAGCACTAACCAACTTGGCTAGAAGGAACATTTGGAAGAAAAATGACTTACCAGTAATATATACTATATATTTGTCGGTTCTCAGCAAAAAAAAAAAAAAAATGGCTCCTGACGGATTCAGCACACACGATCGCGGGGGCTCGCCGAGTGCTGGATCCGCCAGTGATATTATACCATTATACTACTGATGACTCCCTCTCTCCCAAGGCATATTAACATTGAATTGCTAACTTTTCTCAAGAATTCATCCTTTGCTTTGGCTTTTTCTAAAAAATTTTATGTTTAGTATAGTATGCAGTAAAAGCTTTACGTACTGTGGATGAGTTTTTGATAACAAGAGATTTATGCAAACATAAATAAATTAAGTATTTTAAAAATAATATTCAAGCAAAAAAATTTTCTAAAAATATCTTAAGGGAAGGGTAGAGGTGAGATTCTAGAAAATACCATTTTTATTTAACACACAAAACAGAAAACAGATCAGAGCCACAGAAAACGCCACTTACGTGGAAGATAATGCGGCTACAGTTGTGGACCGGCAATATATTCCCCTACGATCTTGCTACGTGTACGGTCTAGATTTACCTCCCTCTCTCCTCTACTGGCCTATAAATGAAGGTGATTCGGTTAACCATTGAACTCAAATTAGTCTCTGTTAATTGACTTAATTCCAGATAATACAAGCAAAAATGTCTTGCAATGGAGGAAACTGTGGATGTGGCTCTAGCTGTAAGTGCGGCAACGACTGCGGAGGGTGAGGCTTTGTTTTAAATTTTTATTTAGCTTTTCATTTGCTGTTCCGCTCGTTAATTTTCATGGATAAAAATGGATTTTATCGGATCAATTTGAATGCATAAATTATGATTGAAGGTGCAAGATGTACCCTGATTTGAGCTATACGGAGGCTACTGCAACCACCGCTGAGACGGTCATCCTTGGCGTTGCACCTCAAAAGACGTACGTATATTTAGTTTGAATTTCCCAAATTCTGCTAGTTGACCTCAATTTAATTACTTTTTGCAAAGTAATATGAAATTAATTTATGAATTTGTTGAATATTTCAGATATTTTGGGGATTCCGAGTCCGAGATGGGTGCTGCTGCAACTGAGAATGGGTGCAAATGCGGAGATAATTGCACTTGCAATCCATGCAATTGCAAATGAAGCACTAGCACTACGTCAGAATCAAAAGCAGAGTTGAACAAAAAAAATGAGTATTAGTAATGAATTGTATGAATGTTTTGGGTAAATCGTCATTATTAGTTGATGATGATTAATATGTGCCTCTATAATAAAGTGGCCATGAGAGTTGTTGATTTGTGGCTGGTTGAAGTCTGAAGTAATTTATAATGTTTGTAATATCGTCTCTGCTTAATTATATACCGAAAAACCAAAATTTCTTTCATTTTTCTTTCTTTATAATCTTTTCTTATGTTACGAAATTTCATAGGAGTGAATCAAATGATGGTTTGTTTTGATCCGTCAGAATAGAAATTTCTTGCAGGCGCGAGTCATCTTTCATCTAAACATGGGTTTTTTCTTCCAGTGTGGACCTAATTTACATCCTTCCTAAAAACTGTTAAGAATTTTTTAAACAAAAAAGTATAAAAAAAATGCTTTGACACTTCTAGGTAATTTCCCTTTATACGGGTAGCATTATTCTCTAAAAAATATGATAGATATTCTTACAAAGTAGAATTAACATTGGAACGACGATTTAGCTTCAATGCTCAAATTGATTTGGGAAGACATTTACCTTCTTTCTTGTAAAAAATTTAAGGGTAGTGTGATTGCAAGAATGAAATTTAAGTGGAAAGAAAATGAATTTTGGGGAATTGAATTGTCTAGAATTTGTCATAATGGGAATTGTTAATTAAATGTGTTTGATGAGTATAATTTTATACTTTAAAATTGTTGAAATTTTGGATTTTTTGGTGTTTGTTTCACTTTATTTTTCATGAAAATTGTCAATCGAAACGATATAATTTGTTATTGCTGAAAATAAAATAAAATTTTTTAAAAAAATCTGGAAAACCTTTTCCCCTCAATTCCTTAAAATTACAGAAAATCTAATCGCGTGAGGGGGTTGGAGGAAAACAAATTTCATGGAAAAGATTGTTATCAAACATGTCATTTTGGTTGGAAACGGAATTTAAAATTCATTTTTCATGAAAAATTCAATCCATCAATTATGTCCTAAGTTGAATTTTAATACTAATTGAATTGTTCAGTTGAATTCAATGTTGGATAAAGCGACAGGAAGCAAATTATAAAATGGACAATACATGACAGCTTCAACACGAGGCTGGTTAACACAAACATCATTATGAAATTCTTCCCTACCAGTTAAGCAAACTCTAGGTGTTAAAAGTGAGTCAAGTCATCTAATACAAATAACGTTACAACACTAACAATCAATGAGACTGAGCAGGTGAAACAGATTCAAACAACAAGATGTTGTGCTCTAATTCATTCAAATACTCCTCTTGCAGCCCTACCAAACATGTTATGCACCTGCAATTGATTCAATCCACGTCTTCAGCTGAAATTTCATTGCCAAGAATTCGGTGAAAGATCAAGATTGCATTCAAATATAAGCATCTACCTGTTTTGATGTAAGGCCTATCTTCTCCAGGTCATTTAGCTGCAACCAACAAAAAAGAAGCAATCATATAGATAGATTTTAACTTCATTTTCCTTTTTAATACTGTACAATACTATGCTTTTGCATTACCAAATAATTCTTGAAAATAATATTTCTTACCGACTTCAATGGGCTAATTTCTCTTTGCTCGATTATGTAACTGGCTATCTTCTGTCCAATTCCCTGAACGAATTAAGCAGACAGTTAATGATAAGGAAACTTTGTGAGACGACAAATTGTAATTGCACGAATACGAGTAATTAAAAGATGGATACCTTCAACTGTAGTAGCTCCTCCCTATCACAAACGCATGAGAAAGAGAATAAAAATCAGTACAATACAAAATATGCAAAAAGAAAACAAGAAGCTCGAGTAATTTACCTGCTGGCTGCATTCAAGAATTCAATATATTCTTGCGCAAGAGAGCTCTGCCATTGATTCAATCAGTTTGATCAAAATCAGCAAGGAAATGATATTCAAGTAATGACTCTTGACATCAAATCCTCAACTTACCTTCAAGTTAGAACTCCGAGAGCTAAATTTATCAAGTGGGGTGCATTCCCCTTGGAATTTGTTTTCTACATTTAACGGAGTGAAATGTGGCTTGGGAGTCTTCGAATCAGAAGAAACCAAATGTGTCTTGTCCAAGTTGGAGTTAATAGGAGAAAGAACTTCTCTCTGAGGGCTATGAAGTCCTGTAATTTTCTCGCTAACTGGTGACAAATGAATGGAGTTGAGACTATTGATTGTTTTCATTTCCTCATCATTCACTGGTTCATGTACAAGAAAAAATAAGATCATAAATCCATATCGATTGTTTCTGAAAGAAAAGTAATTTTCACTTCCTTAAAAAACAATTCATCGACATAACAAACCAACTGAAAAAGTATCGGATTCTAATGCATCCCCCTCAGATGGAGCTTCAGACTTGTCTTTCACAGTTTCAGCAACAGCAAGGTCTTGAGCCTGTCATATATCACATAAGAATAATATTTATCGAAGTAATTGTTATATGTTGTACGCATACAATTTAAACATTGATTCTTAATCATTTATGGGTCTAGAATGGTAATGTGCACATTAGTTTGAAAATCAGTACTTACTTGCATAGAAGGATCTACATAACCCCCATTGTTAAATAAATTTCCATCTTCTACGTATGGAATCCTGTAGATTACAAATAGATTGTTTAAATAGAAACCAAGACATAAGTTCTACGTCAAGTAATTTGTTAGGTAATTATTACCTCTGTTTACAATTGGAAATACTTTGGCTGCTCACAAGCTTTGCGTCAAGCTTTGCACTAAGTTTCATTGTCGAGTTCACAGAACTAGGAGTTCTACCATTAAATGGAGAACGTAATCCAGCGATTCTTTGAGCACTCTTTATTTTGGCACTCTTTGTTTTACCTTTTGATTCTATCCAGGCACGAAGTTTAGCCTCCATGTCAACTTTCACCATAGGAGTAGTGTTTTTCTGAGCTGAGGATACAGAATTAGAAATGTGGCGAGATCTAGCCGCCAAGCTAACCGTATGAACAGATTCTTGGTACTCCCCTGGGTTCTAATGCCAGAGAAAGGTCATGTTGATAAGAGTCAAAATATATTTTACATTTTAGATTCAACGAGATGCAAATATCTCAAAAGATCAAATTCCTACCAAGCAGGCGACCATAAGAGCACGACTTGGCCCTCCAAGAGAATCCTGCAATATGCGGGTCAATTTGCTTTCTCGATAAGGGATTCTGGACATGCCGTTATTTAGTGCATAAATCACATTTGACAGTGCAAACAAAGACAAGTTTATCTTGGCACTTTCTTGTAGACGAATTCCGTCATTGCAAGTCCTTCTGTTGTCCTCATTTCCTGATTAAATTACACAAAAGGATTCAAAATGAGTAAAAGACTGTTGCTGAGATCCATAAATCAGTTAAATGGATAGCTCAAAAACCTGCTAAATCAATGAGGTTTAGTTTCCCAGTTATCATTTTTCCAACACTATCACGAGAAGGAGTGGAAATTGTAATCACAAGCACCCCGTGGCTCCTGCTGGATACATCATTGAGGCCTGTACGTGCAACCTTTCGCCTCTGAAGAGCACAAGAGAAAATCTCATGGAATGAAGACATTGAGTTAACTTCAACTTGAGCCAATCCCTTAAGATGAACATGACCATCTTTGTCTTCCCACACCAAGAACTCCTGTTCTTTAAGTTCTAAGAGATCATAGCATCGGTCCAGGTAGACTTCATAGTATGATATTGAAACAGTACTTCCTGTCCTTTCACATGTAGACAGAATATTGGACATGGAAAGTGACATTAAACCTGGTAGCTCATCACTGCCCTGCATGGTTAATTGATTCCAAACTTATTATTCACATGTATACATCATCAACAAGGTTACATAAAAAAAACAACTAATCTGATTAGTATCATAGATTGTTCAGTTAAATTTCCATTTTTTATTTTTTATTTATTTTCAAACCACCAGAATGGAGGAGTATTTTTTTCATGCCCAAAAAGAAAATAAAGCACAAACTTAGGAGGGGGCATATGGCTGGCCTAATCTACAACCAATGAAACACAGATCATAAGATTTAACTGGTCTATAGGGCTGAAGCTAAAGAAAAAGGAGTGAAATTCGATATTTCACATGTTTCATCATAGTCACCATATTCATCAAAGTTCACCAAAATTTGCCATATCCCACTTTGAAAGATCTAATCCTTCATCAATATCGGTATATCACTGTGCACGTACCCCAAAGCATCATCAGTGTAGTTAATTTCCATTCTAACTTAATTTTCAGTAGAAAAGAATAAGAGCTTCATACTTGTAATTAGGAGACAAGCACATTTTCATACTCATCACCCCTCTTAAAAGACCGACTGTCTAGTTTTTCAAACCACCAGAATGGAGGAGTTTTTTTTTCATGCTTAAAAAGAAAATAAAGTACAAACTTAGGAGGGGGCATATGGCTGGCCTAACCTACAGCCAGTGAAATACAGATCATAAGATTTAACTGGTCCATAGGGCTGAAGCTAAAGAAAAAAGGAGTAAACTTCGATAATTCCCATATTTCATCATAGTCACTATATTCATCGAAGTTCACCAAAATTTGCCATATCCCATTTTGAGAGATCTAACCCTTCATCAATATCTCTATATCACAGTGCAGGTACCCCAAAGCATCACCAGAGTAGTTAATTTCCAATCTAACTCACTTTTCAGTAGAAAAGAATTAGAGCTTCAAACTTGTAATCAGAGGACAAGCACGTTTTCATACTCATCACCCCTCTTAAAGACTGAATGTCTATCTTTTCTAGCTCGTGGAGAATGGATTAAAATTTAGGGGGACATCGGAAGCAAAACAAAAGACGTGCTCATGGGACCAACATCTTAGATTCTTATGCCAAGTTGAAAGACCAACCGATTAATGATAATCTAAATTTTTTTGTTTATTAGGCTTAAATATCCTAATTTCTGACTAGAAATAACATTGCATATGCAGGCTTTTCATTATGTGCACCAATCTATATTATTTGAAATCCTGAGTTGAAGATGTGGGTGTATTACTCTTTGCTATTAGTACATGAACCTCTCAGATACTGATGAATTTTCTAAAAGTAATTTCTGTTTCTTCCAAAACATTTTTTTTATATGACCCATAGAATGTAATTTCACTTGAAGTTGAGGATACCTCGAGTGAAGGCCTTGGAGATCTCATGCCTAATAGTAATTCTCTGAGTCCATCCTCTTTT